GGACCTAATCCATACGCTGTGAAAGCCATGGTCTAAAGTATAATGAAGTAGTTTTCCCATTACTTTCCAAAAACTGTGTAAAAGTTTTGAAAGCAGCAGTACCATTTGTTTACTCTTCCTACAATATTCCTCGTGGATTTGCTAATGCCTCCTGCTGTCTGTGGGTACATCTTCAAAAGACAGGCTACAGAACATCGTTGTGCATTCATCTGGACCTGCGTGAACTCATCAACTCCAGGAATTTCATATGAATCCAAATGACAGCAGAATTTAATCCAGCGAATACCAGTGCTGTTTTACAAAGCACCTATTTTATTTTGATGGGACTTAAAGTAATGCATTTTACATTGATTTTACCACTGTAGTAGACTAATTTGTGGGCCACTTAATTTAAAGGGTAAGCAAACAGCTGACAGTTTTGCTTGCAAATCACTTAGTCTAGTGAATTGTAAGATATAGGAATATGCGTGGAAAAATGTGGTAAAGAAAAAAAAATTATCATGTTTTTGTAAACTGGAAAATCGTTCAGCACGTGAGCTTAGGTGGATCTGCATACTACTAGACAGCAGACAAACAGATTCTGTACCTAATTTTTTGTTATCTTTTAGGCTGCTTTTCCACTGTTGCAATGTTCCTCATCTGAGTCTCACGGTGGCTGGTGGATAGTATTGTAGATGTTCCTTTAAGGTGCATGAAAATTATTTTTCCTTTTATTGTGGATCTCTGAGGTCTCAGGCACATGAAGGCCACGGGTCAACTGTCCTTGAAAAGTCTATTGAATAAACCTTTGTATAAATAATACGGAGTATCCTGAGGTAAAGTTACCTTACTGATATTACTTTGTTATTCTTCTGGCTCCCTGTAGAGATCATTTGTGGGATTGGATGAACCTTGTCCCTCCTTAGCTTTCTTTTCATGTCTGAACAAAACTTTCCCTCTACTCAGAAGACTCAGCAAGAAGTTTCCTGACTGGAAGGCATTTCTGTAAAAAATCTCCCTAATGATTCAAATTAAAAAAAAAAAAAAAAGTGAAGAAAGTTCATCCACCCACAATATTCAATTGCAGAGAATACAAATATACAAATAAGGACTCGATAGCCAAGAGACATGAGTGGGATTACCAAACCTTCACTCAATGCATATAGTAAAGAGCACAAAGGATACTGGATTCCTACAATTTATAAATTTTTGTGTAAATGCCCTTACCAATCCATGCAACCTCGTGTCAGTATAGACTGTCATGAAGTGAAATATAACTAGTGAGTGAACAAAACATTTGTGTTCCTATTCCTCTGCTAAGAAGTCTTCAATGACTAAATACCAGGATCTAAATAGAGTCAATTCTGCAAAATTTCACTTACAAACATAAAACCCTTTTATATCCTAAATGAAGAACTCACTGATAGTGCTGGATTATACAATGTCCCTAAATAACCACTACTTGGCAGGTACAATGCAGGTTACATCCGAGGCAGACAACTATACATGACAGTTAATATACCTTTAAAAGTTATTGCCCTACACCTTCAACCTTCATAGTAATTTAAGCTACTTCACTTTACTTCATATCTCCATAGACCACGAGTATGTTTGGTACCTGCATTTCAGCTAAAGACCAGTATCTTGTTAAGATGCACTGCTTAACCACTTGTGATATGACCATGCCCTTAGACACCTTCCAAAATGAAAAACGTATATTGGCTAGAAGAGATTATAAGCCTTTGAATGTCAGTCCCAGAAAGGTGTACAAAGATGGACTACACAACCTTCTTTATTCATTGTATGGTATGGGGAAGAAGAGTGAAGCCAGAGATGACTTACCCCTTAGTCTCCCCCATGTCTGCACCTTTTACAAGGCATTACATCTCAGAGGACCAGAAAGCCATACTAATTTCTAGGGCCCATCTTGGGCTGGTAAAATGCAAGTGGCATTTCACAGGCTCAAGCCTCCATGTTCAGCACAGTCCATAGTGATTTTTCTGGCAAAATTTCATTGACTCTCATTTTGTATAAATGATTGTAATAACAAACGTTTTAATCTATGCTTCCAAAACTGCTCTTCTTTTTAGCGCATGTAATTTCTATTAGTATTAATGGGAATGTCACACATACACACACACACAGAGCAGGGTAGAATGGCCCCTGAAGTGTTCTAACAGCAATATTAATTTCTCCTGGTGGGTGACTTTGTCCTCATAACAATAATAAAGCTACAGTACTTTATAAATGCAAAAAGTCTCTTGAAGGTTGATACAGGCTGTTATTTGAAACTACTACCTTTGTGAATTTTCATCCAAATCAGAAAAATCTGGTAACTGAGACATTTATACAAGGTTCTAAACTTTAAAGTACAAGCTGCAACCACTGCCTAGGTTCTATTTTTTTTTTTTTTTCTTTTTTAAGAGTAACTCTTTAACAAGCAATAGAAAGAAAATCAAAAGGAGGTATGTTGCTTATTCATAAAAGCATAATTTGGAAAAAACCTCCAAATTTATCACTGTCTAGATAATCCTGCTTTTGCAAAGGGGATCTAGTTGCTCAACTAAACAGTAAGGTAACTGAAGTGGAAAATAATACATACTCCACGTTTTCAGGTGTAGGAGTCTCATTTCCATGCAGTGAGAATCCCTGCAAGCCATAACCTTCAAAAAAACCACAAACTCAACATGAGCAGCATATTCCAAGTTCCAAGGTGAGCAGATCCATTCTGAGTCTGCCCAGAATTATTACCACAATGCAGTGCTTGGCGACTGTGCTACAAAAAGAAGTCCTTTATATGACATTACTACAGTTTAGAGGCATTTATTTATCCTAAATAGTTAAAAGTTTCTCACAGAATCATCTATATTTCAATAGATACAGAAGCATCTATTGTTATGACAGAAGTCTTAACTGTTCTCTTACCTCAGGGTCTGTTCAGTCTGCAAGCACATTGTTACTCTTCAAAGACAGTTTCTATTGTTGTAGGTTTGTTATGAACTAACCCTTGAGAAAATTTACTGCAAATGTAAAAATTTTATTCATGCTCTTTAGGTACAAATTCTAACACAAATCCTTGAAGATAAGAGACTTAGAGGTAAATGGAAAATGGAATAAAATCCATCATGGATTTAACAGAGTTGTAGGATGCAAGAGAAACCTTACAGGGATTTCTATTAAGATAATTTATTTTCTAGATAAAGAAAATTCCATGTATCTAGTTTAATCTATATATCAAAGCATTTATTTTGATACCACAGATATTTCCTTATCTAATTGGAGAAGATAAGGATAGTGGTAAGGAAATGGCTAAAGAGTGAACAATAGCACTTTCTGTTCAAAATGAGATAAGGTGGAGTTCCTCACCAGTCAATCTCGGTAGTGTTCAAACGTGGCCTTGCAAAGAGGCACACGGAAAACCTCAACACAGCAAACAAGCAGCACCTCATGACTTCAGCCTGGGAGAGTAACAGCAGGTGACATTCAGCAGCACAAACTTCAAGGCCACTCTCCGAGGTAGAATCAGTAAGAACATACGCTATCAGCAAGAAGGCATGAGCTGAAAAAAGCAAGCCTGGAATATTAGTCATACACTTGCTGACTGAGTTGCTAGTGTGATGCAGCTATGAAAAAGGCAAAAGCAACATAGGCTGTAGAAAGTGAAGTATTTGCAGCAGGGATGGGGAAGTGCTAATGACACTCTAGAAAACTGGCAATAGCAGATGTCAAACAAAGTGCATAATTCTGGCAATCCTTGTTCAAAAACAGATTCACATAAATTGCAAGAGATGCAAAGAGGGTGACAAAGGTAGGCAGAATAAAAAAAGGTGATGAAGAGGCCATGGTTATTTAAATGTCTACTGAAATGTCACCTGGGTGAAAGAAAATACATCAGGGTCATCCTAATGAGGGGAGAAAAGAACACAGTGAAGAAAATATAGGTGTAATCAGGACATGAATCAGTTCAGTTTGGATATTAGAATAGTATCTCATCAGAGAAGTGAGGGTCTGCAACAACTTTAGTTAGAAATTGTATAGCAAAATATTGCCACTTTAAGACCAAGAGGATTACTTTGTGAAGCAGACTAGGAGACAGTGCCTGCCCAGACAAAAGTCTGGACACGATGACCCCACAGGTTTTAGTGCCGTTGAAGCTTAACAGTGGGATGTAAACCAAGGTTTCTAAGAGATTGCAAGTATGCTGGTTACAAAAACTGATCTTCTAGAACAAGTAGGTAAACATAAACTAAGTTATTTACATAGAGAATACACCAAGAACCTGGGATGCTGATCTCTTATACTAACAGAGCTGCTGGCAAAGACTTTAATTTTGATATTGCTCAGCAGAAGGGCAATGCCGGTGTCAGATGCCAGACAACAGCATTAGAAGCAGCAGCAATCCTCCAAAAAGAGACAGGCATATATTACAGCATTTGTGCAATGAGTCAGAAAAAGCTGCAAATCAACCCAAGATCCTCTGGAACGAAGCTACTTTAGGAATATAAAATCTGTCATGGGCTGATGATCTAGGAAGACAAGTCATTCATTTGGACTGTATTTCATAATCCCATGCTATTGAATTTAGTTGTAGTTTCCCCCTTCCTCAGTGGCAGCAAAAGCACCTTCCAGGAGGCTATTGCAAGGCACATAACATGTTGTATCCCTTTTGGGTAAGTATTAAAATACAAGCCTTAAATAGAAAAGACTTAATTAGATGTAAGCAGTTTTGGGTCTGTTCTCAATTACACCACAAAACCAGTGTATGATCACTGGCAAATAAAGTATCTACTTTGAATTTATCTTCAAAAAGGAGAAAAATAATACATTCTCTCCAAAACTCTTGTTTATCCACTTAGAACATCTCAGCAATGGTTTTGATTATGCCTCTGTAGAGCACTTACCAAAATAAATAAATAAATAAATAAATATCAGTTATGGGTCAACATTGTACAAATAGTCAATAAAAATTATCTTCACTGATGACATTGTCGAATGCATACACACAGAAACAGTAGAAATAGTAAAGGTAATTTTTAAATTTAATCAGAAAAATCAAAACAATGGAAAAATATTAGGAATGTAGAGCTCATTAGGGCAAGCAGAGTCTATTAACTGTTCAGCTGTCCAAGCACAGAGCAGAAAAATCTCTTATTTACTTATCACCAAGTACAATGACCACTATGATCCCAGCTGTAATCAAATACATAATTGGAAGTGAACTAACCAGAGAAATCAAAACTAAAAAACACAGGGCCAGATCTTCCCACCACTGACTTCAGTGGAATTACCTGGCTGAATACTCCCACTCACTCCAGCAAATCAAAAGCTAACAATTATTATTCTGAACAGCTTCACACTGCTGATGGCATCTTTCCCATAAACTAGAAAGCTTATGCACTATGACCTAAATTAGTACAACACACTTTTTTTTGTTGTTGTTGTTTGGTGGGTTTTTTTTTGTTTTTCTGTCTATATAAAAATGAGTTGTACATTGTTACCCTAATATTTACATAAAGCATAATCATGAATTCGGTAGCTGGGTCAGCAGCAGTTCATCTGCATGATAGCCATCTGCATCGTTGCATTTTAGTCTGTTTCAATGCATCTGAAGCCACAAAATTATGTAATGGGGAACAGACTGGCTACAGCTTTATCTCTACTTACTGTTCTATTTATGAAGACTAATGACAAAGAAAATGTAACAGGCAAATAAGAAAAATAGTATGAAATGCATCTACAATAGTATGGAACAATTATGTGTCACAAAATGTAACCACTTGGAAATTCAGTCTGTCGAGGAACTGGACATTTAGTTATTATAATAATTCTAAACAAGAACTAATTGAAACCAAAGATTCACTTTTATCTAGAATTTTGTATGAATTTTAAGTATATTACCTATTAGGATATAACCAAAGCTATGAAAATCCAAACAAATTACTCTCCTTCCAGTAAGCCTTCCTTATGCAGTACAAGCATGCTCTCTTCTTTTTTTTTTGAGGTATCTGAATGAATATTTCTAGCTAATGGCTGAATTCTTTTCCATATCTAGATTCAAAGAGGCAAAGAATATGTATGCTTTGCTATTCCCCTGGAGAATGGATTTATTTTAGGAGGAGAAAAACTATGTCTACTTTCACATTTTGTCTCTTCCTCATGCTTTCCTGCCATCACTTATGAATGTACATGTTAAAATACCTAGAACTATCTAAGGAAATAAATCTAATTGCACAGATATAACCAAAGTATGTCCTACAATAATTGCTACTGATTTATAAGTTCCATCTTTTCACCTTCATACAACCTTGATAGTTACTAAATCACAGCTGAAAATACACTAAGACATAACTTACTAACACTGTGCTTTCAACTCACTTATCATTGGGATCAGATTTGTATTTTTATGTTGTACTGTATATGAGAGGTACCTCAGACAAATCCATAGAGTCATAGAATCATTTAGGTTGGAAAGGATCTTGAAGATCATCTGTATCAGTTCTAACATAAGCATTTTCTTTCCATGACGCCGTAGGTTACAGTCATGATCTAAATTCATTTGAAACAATTTTACATATCTTAGTGTCATTAAGAAAGTCTTATCCTTGATGTACTGCAGAAGTACAGGTGTGTGCTTCCACTAACTTCTGCCAGGCGCTAGATCCTTGGGAATCCAAGGTGCATTTCAGGTATAACCAAATCTCCTTGCTTTTTCTTGTGAAATTAAAATGTACCATTCTGTATAGCAAAATCCAGGTTCAGGAACTGCAGCCACAGTTGAAAGGTGAAGTATTGTCCTTTTTGCTGACAAGTTTTGCAAGTTCAACGCATTAAGTCAATAGCATCATCACAAAAAAGGGTCTCTGTGTAACAGCCAAGCAACAGTTGCACATGCCATTGTTCTGTTAGTGACCCACAGGTTTATTCATTGCTACCGTGTTACCTATAAAAGAAGAGGAAAGAGTTACCTACACAGAATCGATCAAACAAAGATAACGTGTTTTGTTGCTGTAAAGGAACTGTACACACTGATACATCGTGAACGAACTTGCCCCAGCCATACCTACTTACCTTGCAGAGAAACAGAATCTATATGCAAATGTTAACTACACTACTATTCAAAAGTATAAGGGAGATTTGCAGATAAAGAAATGGCCGTTCACGATTAAATTTGCCAGCAACATCTCATGGAAATCTCCTTAAACTTTATCTTGCTTAACATCATTTTCAACACCAATGCCTACAGCACAAGTGTGTAAGTTACATCCCAAAAGACCATTCATGCAAACTGCTATCCATTCCCAGCGGTCCATTTTATGGGAGGGAAATAGGGATCAGACAGAACATGGTCTGCAGAGGGGATGAATCGTTCTGGCAGCAGAAGCCACTCCCAGATAACACTTCTCCCACAGGACCCTGTGGCCTCTTCCCCTTAAAACCACATGCACGCTCAGTCGGGTGCTTCAGGGATGTACGTGCAAGCCTTAATGCACACAGAGAATGCGCAAACCCAGGCGAGGAGGGGTCATGGGAAGTGGATCAGAATAGGCAGCCTCCAAGGAGGAAAGCTTTGTCAGCTCTGCTCTGTAGTGTCTAGACATGTTACAAAACTAAACAGACACTCAGCATAGAGAAGTTTTTATTTCTTTCCCTGAGGTAACTGATGTAAGATATGAGCTCTTTGGCTTTTAACATTTTAACTGTTCCACTCAGCTACTAACCTGTCATCTAAATACTGAGTAGTGCCAGGAGTCTCCTGTGCTTCATATACTTCAAGTTACTCTAATATTTCCACAAAATGAAAAGATAGAGGACTTAAAATTGATTAAATGGCATTTCCTCTTTCAGTGTATAATTAACCTGTGGAAGTCATTGTCCCAACTAGCACTGATCCCAGGGCCTTAGAAAGCTTTAAAAATTGATTAGAAATTTAAATGGTAATGAGAACTTCTTTCGTACATAACAGAAAAATAAAATTAGTATGGAATGGATCTCAACTCTCGTGTTTTTGACATAAGCTAGCTATTAAATTGGAAGAATTTTATGTATGTGCACATTTTCTATAATTGTCCACAAGGGTTCTGGTGTGTCTGATTTAAGTATTCCAGTGATGAGACACAGAGGCTGCTATACGGTTTGGACTAAGGGTCTGACAGTTCATACAGGCCTCTTTACATGAAGTTTTAATAACATACTTAATACATATTTTGTTGACTGAGCTGAGTTTGGACAAATCTTTGGTTCATTTCTAAAATAAAAAAACAACTTACAGTATACTTCCCCCTTTCCCCTATAACAAGGGAAATTTTCTTTCCATTCTGTTTGCCTTCCAGTTCAATATTACCTGTGCCTTCTATTTAGAATCCAGAGTTACCATTACTGATTATATTTCTGCAATAACTATATCTTGGTCAACAGATGAAAAGACCCACAAAACAGGCAAAATACCTACAGAGGAAATACGGATGCCAAGATAGATTCTGTAGGACAGATTTTGCTGTCTAGCAAGCAGGCATCTACATGTAAGCTCGTCATCCAGGGCTTCCTTAAGGTACAGGAGGGAGAAAGAAGTACTTGTGGGAACTTTCTTGTGGATGGGCACAGTCATGCTGTGAGATCACCCATTTCTCCCCACATGACTTTGGAGAATTCTAAAAAACTAGGCTTCGATGGAAACATGCCTGCAGCTGGACACAATGAATCCCATCCACAAACCACTGGAGAAATCATGTCCTTTCTTACTTGGACCAATAAAGAAGATAAACTTCCTGATTTCAGACTGATTCTCAAAAGGTACAGTACTAAAAGCTAACTACGGGAGTACAACAACTTGGTGATAGTATGACAAATCCTCAGCTTTTAGAAATGTCACTACTACTGAGGAAACAGTTATGTTAAATCTCAGCCTCCAAAAGTAACTCTTCAAGGTCCACTGGCTAACAACACAGGTAAATGCATGGGAAAAGCTTTTATGGGTCAAAACCAAAGTATTTAAAGGCATGAAAGTAATTATTTCCCTGAAGTATCCATACATAAAACACATACAGCAAACAGTGGAAGAATTTCTAGCAAAGAGTAAATAAAAAGGGAGGGACACCTTTTTAAGGGATCTGCCATTTAAGGAAGTTTGCCCGTTCCCTTCTATAACATGGCCGATCGCTAGTTAAAGGTTAGGACTCTCTTGTGCTATTTCAATGTAATGTTTAACCACTAACTTCATTATTCATATCTACATTTATATTGTTGTCATACTGCAAGACCCCAATCAGAATCAGGATCTCCCTTATGCTGTTGCTAACCACATGCACAAGAAAATACAGTCCTACCTTAACATGCTCAAATCTAAAACAACACAGGGCATTGAAAGAAAAACAAAACCATGCAAGGAAAATGAACAGTTCTCATGTCAGTAATACAGTAGAGTGATTCACATCTAAGGACAAGTGCCAGTTGTTTTCTTATCCTTTCAATTAAACACCCCTCAAAGAAATCTCCTATGGTGATAAAAATCAATGCAAAATGCATTACTCCACATACCAGTAAAGTAGAGGAAGAGTTTAATTAAACAACATTTGCACTCATATTGCTACACTCTGCCCTCTGTTAGACCCACAGAAACTCACTGGAGTTGATGAATTTGCACAGGTCTAATTGCAGGCAGGATGATTTGTCCCACTCTAGCATTATAAAGACATCCCCAAACTCATCAGAATGCATTACCGTATTCTGCAGTTTGCTGGTTGCAATATTTGTCATGGATAATAAAATAAATGATCCATGCCAAATTTGCCCTTCTATTAGTAAACTCCCACTGATTCAGGTTGCCTCTTTTCACTGTTTAAGGGCAAGAGTCATGAACACAGGCCATATGACTCATGTGGTCACTTGACCTCAATGAACTAAAAGGCAACTGTTCATGGGAAGGCAGGCACAACTGCATGAATGAGGACTTGATGCCTCAGGCCTTAAGTCATCAATGCCAACAAAGTTTTTTCTTCTACCCTTCACCCTTCTAGTATCTACTGAAGGCATCATGTGTATTTAACCCTGGCTTACTCTTTTCCAATAAGGTCCTTTTTGTGTAAAGTCAGTGCCTATGAAAAAATGTAAACGCTGAAGGTAATCATATCATGCAACACCTGACTGCCAGTTACCAATACTGATTCTAGAGTGTGCAGGTCAACTTTCAAGTGTGGTATCCATCACAGGAGGACAGCACAACCTAGGCACACTATAGACTACATCTTTAGCATTTGATAAATAATTCAATGAATTTACAACAATTCCTCTGATCTTAAAAACAGGAATAGGGTTTTTCAGACTGGTTGGCTTGGTCAGATTTTTCCAGTGAGCCTGTCACTGTGCAATGTCTGTAGCTGGGCATTAGACCACCAATATCATACCACAGTTACCCAAACCATCTAATTTTCTCTCCCTCATCCAGAAATTAGTATAGTTTTCACTCTTTAGAACAGCCATTATTAAACATTTGGTGTCAGCATTTGCTTATTAACTCAGACTGTAACCTAATCAACAACATTCATTCCCAACTAGAAGAGGCTGTAAAAGGAAAAGCTAAGCATATGTCTTTCCTTGCTATTGCCTGCTAAGGACTCCTGTTTTATGATATATTTAGATATTCAGTTTGCTAAGATTTGTTGAACTTCAATGCACTGAACTCATTTTAGATTGTTAAGCAGACAGAGGACATGATATTTTCTCTCCGCTGGCCAATAATTAAAGAAACAGGATGGCATAGAAAAGTTTTATTTTTAAAATCAGGCTGTCTACAGGATGGCCTGCAATTAGAAATGACCTGAACCAGCCTGATTTCCAGTGGTGCTCCGTGTGCCACAGTTCCCACTGACATCAGTGCAGATTCTCAAAACTCCCAATGCACGCTACTTCTTTCAAAAGCTAAAAGGGCTTTCCAGTAGCACAGAAATCTAACTTTAGGTGACATTGGTAAAGACCTTGGATCCATGTACTCAGTCTGCAAACTGAAGAATTGATCCTGGAACATGGTTATCCCTATAGTACTGGTCAGAATTGAATAGTTTGGTCACTAAGGACTGGGCCTTCTTCACTTTGACTCTAGCACCCAATGACTTAACTAGGCTGTCAGTGAAAGGACAGTTCTGACCCAACATTTCCCTCTCTGAGAACAATTGCATTAATCACTACTTCCCAAAACACTGACAAGTCCAGTACTGGTGTTCATACCCGCAGATGCAATGCAATAAGCAAGTGCTATCAGCAGACTGCCACCTTTAAATATAGGTGATCTCTGTACTTGCCTTTGTGGTTTTGACTTTATTTCCACTGCTGCAAGACCAACCTGAATAGTCTGGTAATACTTTACAGTCCTCTCCATCCAAACAGGGGTTCATATGACACCACCACTTCTGTAGGACAATGGAAGCTAGAAAAAGAAATAGGAAAGGGAAACAGAATACAGTTTGGTGTTTGTTTTTTTTTTTTTTTTTTTTTTTAACACTCTTAGGTTTAGCAGGGTGGTTGTCTGTGTGATGTTCAATTGTTTGATTTCAAAAGGTAGAATCAACAGTTACTGTTTTAATAGCTAATAACACCATGTTTGAGCTAAATATGTGGCTTTAAAACTTCACCAGCACACAGAAGGGTAAATGCCATATGCAAATGGTGACGACAGGTAAGCACCACCAGAGACTGACTCCAACATTTGAATTAACCTCTGGAAGTGCCTTTACATCTCCACTGTATACAAAGATGACTTGCCTCCTTCATTTACATGCTTCAGTCAAGTACCTCCTATAAGGTGGAATGAAATTAAGGTTTCTTGTTTAACCTGGATATGCATATGTGAGACTGGATGAAGAAATGCCAGTTTCTCCCTTCACTGGGTGAGAAAATAGAATTGCACAGAGATGTAAGCATGTGACATCTGTCAGCAAATAGTGCAGATAAGAATGTAGAAACCACTGGAAAGCATTAGATAATTAACTGAAATTCTACTTGCAGTTACACTGCCAGTTTTGCAGTATGTTTTGGAAGGCTACAGTAATACACCTTAACTGTGCAAATGTATTAATTTTCTACCCTTAAGACAATTTCCATCAATAAGATCGTGCTTGTTATTTTTACAAATGTAGTCATGACTTTGTAACACTGCTGTTAATAACAGATATAACTTCCCACAAACAGCTGTAAACATCTGCATGCATATCTCAGTTTTGTTCATGTGATTCATCAAATCCCAGAAAATTATAATGAAATAAGTCAGTTCACAATCTTACACAATTTAAATTGGATTTCAAGATAAAATATGGTTTAAAATGTTGATGTAGTCTGCATTATGCTAATATGTGCACAAAATTTTGAATTGTATGCTTTAAAAAATACCACATCCAAAAGCTATAAACAAAAATAATTTAGTCTACTTCTTGTAAAGCACTTTTTTCCCTTTTAATTTCAAGGTATATTCGTACTTCTGTAACCTTCAAATTAGGGTGGCAAGCAGACAAGCTGACATCAGGATATTACTGCAATGTTCATTCTATTACTTTTGTTTTGCATTTTCACTCTAAGCCTATGTGAAAAGCACCATGAAAAATATACTTCTGGAATACCAGTTTGGCCTTTATAAACTCTTCTTTCAATCTCATAAAATTATAAAATAAATACATGATTCCTTTCACCAGTCATTTGGATCTTAGATCATTTGCATTGATGCTGATTGATTGTTGACAAAACAGGTGAACCTTAACTGTGCTTGCTAGGATGTGAGCAATCACTTCCACTCCAGACATATGGTCCAGTCATATTTTATCTATTTTATCTCTGTTACTTTCTAAATTTGTTTCAATTTCTATATCACATTTATTTCAGGTAAACACGAGCAAGTCTAGCAGTCAAAATACAAGAAGATTGAGGGCATGTGCCGAGGTCTCTAAGCAAGCAGGAGATCCTGGTAGCAAGCTGGCTGTGTCTTCAGAGCTCTGCTTCAAAGCCAGCGAGTTCTCCTGGGAGGCCTGGGAGCTGCATTGCACAGCTCTGCACAGCGCTGTTGTGCGTGTGGATGCGGTGGCATGCTGAGGCTTCGCCTGCACTCTGACATGTGACCACGTTCTCATATATTTAGTGCTACCTTAAAAACATGAGTTCAGCTTCAGACCTTGAAAACCACCTCTCACTCACCTATCTCCTGAAGACAACTAGAATCCCTTGTGCCTTGGTTACTCTGATAACTCCTTAGATCCAACCTTTTCCATATTGGTTTGGGTGGAATATATTTTAGGACCCCAGAAAATGCAGCAAATATTCGGGTTTTTTTCATCTATGCAACCTGCATCAACCTGCTCCTAACACCTGATTAAAATTAAAAAAGGCATTAGTTGACTGGCCAAAAGTGCAGCACAGGAGCAGGTTCACACAGCATTTTTGACCGATTGTGCCCATGCAACTTCCTGGTCCATGTGGAACTGAAGATAGTGAAACTGGCCCATCATCTCCAGCACTACCATCTTCCACTAAGACAAGCATAGATATGAATGGGATACATTGCTGAGTCAATCTGTAACTCAAACAAGATCTACAAGCTCTTCAATAAATTGCATATTTCACCTTCTATTCACCTCTTGTTTAGACATTTTCATAGAAAGTGACTCCTACCCTTCTGTTGACTGATTTCTATTCTGTGCAGATACCTCTCCTCAGAGGTATGGCAACACTTTGAAATACTTAATACAGATCTAATTCCATTAGCTTCCAGCAAATCCCCAATTCTTTGCTGTAGCAATCCACTAATTCTTACACTCATTTTATGTCCATTTTCTTTGTAGTTGTCCACTCTGCTGATCTATATGACCTAACTAGCTGTGGCTGCTTGTGACATACACACCATTGAGACTAGTCCATTAAAATTCAACTTCATAGCTAGAGTCCTTTAACTATCATTGTAACTGTGCGACTCACTGGATGATATAAAGGCTCCCTCTTCTTTTCAGATTGAGGCACCCTTGGAGACATTTCAACAGATGACTTTTCTAAGAAATGAGAGCAGCTATGTCGCTCTCATACACAACCACACTCATGAAGAGCAAGGAGACTGCTTTCGTTTGACATTAGCAAGTTGATTTGCTGAAAATCAGCCAGAAACCAGCCAGAAACCCTGCCAGAAATAAATCTTCTGCCAACATCACTCCCTAGATAACAGGACTCCACAGAAATAGTAGGGTCATAGAGTGTAAAGCCAAAAGGTGTCAATATATCATCTTATCTTGCCTCACACTATTCACTGTTTTGTGCTCCCCAGTTGTGTTTGGCTGCACAGTATCTTCCAAGCCAATCCGGAACAGGTGAAGAAAGAAACTTCTCCCACTGTCATTTTTTTCTGATGGTTAAGCAACCTCAGCATAAAACACACAGACTTAGTTTTCTTCCTCTTCCCACCTCTTCTGTGCTTTCTTCTCCTACATTACAGCACCTATTAACAAACATTTTCTCCCTGTGAAGGTACCAAACATGCAGTAATCCAGTGACTTTTCAATCTTCTGCCTGATAAACTGAGCTGATTGAACTTCTTCACTTTCACACCACAATGCATTTGTATTTATTAACACAGTTATTTCAAACAGGTTCCACTTCTTGTGAGTAGGTTTAGGCCATGTAACTGCCTTAGGCTTGTCATTAATTACTCCTTTGCCCCAGTGGGTGAAACATATACATTTTTTTGTCAGGAGAGATTCTCTATTTGCTTTCGGGTCACTGCTGAAAACGTTGCAGAGTGTTGGGTGTAGAGTGAAGTACTGTGAAATCCCAGTAGGTATGTGCCATTTGACTACCACTTCCTACTGATGACTCTGGGGAGAGATGTGGGTTTGAGGTATGCTAAGTAAGTGACCCTGAGCAGTGCACACAATTGTATATGGTTTACAATTAAATAGCTTACAAAAAATAAGACTTGAATTCTCAGAAGTATTTGGTAACCAAATCTTTAGTTGAATCAATTATATATTATCTTCGGAGGTAACTTGAAAAACCGACTTACATGTATTAAACCTAGAAACTATCTGTATTCGTTTTGAAAACTCCTTAGCAAATGAAATCAGTTGTGTCTGGCAAATCTTTTTTTCAGAAAGCCACATAAACTCTTGTGATCTGTACACCCAGAATTCCTTGCTAATTGGATACGATATCAGCTTCTCAGTTATTCACACAGGACTGAGATCAGCCTCAGTTGTCCCTAAGTATCTAGAAATTGCTGTCTACCCTCTCAAAAATGGCACAGTCAATACTAGTGCTTTTCCTAGAATACCACAAGTATTCTGAAATACGTTTTGAATTACAACTGACCAGAGATCTATTAGTCAGCTTTTTAGTCAGAATTCAAATTTAAAAAATAAAAGGTTTAATCCCAATAGATGTTGGTTAGCACCTTCTTTAGTTAACAATAAATTAGAAAATACCTCCCCATCCTGTTGTTTACCCAAAGAACCGTGGTACTGATGCGTCTCAGAATTAAGAACTTCAATATTTCATGTATTATGGGCCAATTTTTTTTTTTTTTTTTTTTTAAGGATTTCTGTGTGTTCTACTCGAACAAGCAAATTCATACTGTCCTTAGTCTGGACAAATACAGATGTCTTTCATACTCCACTGGATTAACCTTTCTTCCATATAAACTTTCAGTACACTATTCATTCTACTGTATATTTCCTTTTATCCTTTGAATACTGACACAGAATTAGCATCCATTTTGAATTCTCAAAGGTTCTGAAATCCATTCAAAAACAGTGGGAGGGAAATCTTCTCAGCTATTTCTTCTTTTATCTATTTCTTATGCATTGATTTTTTGTTTTCTTGTTCCTATATGCTCTCTTCCTTTCAGTCTATAACCCAGATAGGCTTTCAGCCAAAATTGGTTTATTCTTCATTGCAGCTCTCTGGCCCTACAGAAAATTCTTAACCAATGCTTTAATCCCATTCACAGTTTTTCCAATCTGAGTGTTTCCTTCCCAGAAATTCTAGTACTAATAGAATTGCCTGGATGGAAGATGATTTGGCTAGTGATGATTTACTTAGAGGCATTTAACGCACTTAGCCAAGATAGCTACTCTACAGACAAAAGTTATTAATGTTTTATCTTCTTGGCAATAGCTGTTAGACAAGCTGGAGGTACTTACTCAAGAATGTTTATTTCCATAAAGAAAATAGGTATAAACAAAATCTCATGACTACTTTAAATGCAATTTAGTCATTGACAGAAGAATGGGTTGACCTAAGTGAAATTTTCTATAACTGCAATCAAGTAGTATAGCTACAACTCACGGCAGGGTACACAGGCAGTATGGTATGTCCTCTCTGCATATTTAAATGCTTTCTTTCACATGTTCTGCTTTTTTCTGAGTTCAGCATCTCAATTTATCTACAGCAATATTTCTCAAAATATCAGATGGGCCTGTGCTTGGAAGCTCAAATAACCTCCAGAAAAATGAGGCGTGCATGGGTACAGAAGAACTTGCCTTGCCTTTTTTGTTTGCCAATGCGTGTCAATAGCTTTCACAACCAAGTGCAAATACACAAATGACAGAGTTTCTTGTGGGATCCATGCAAAATCAATTATCTAAGTAAAGCGTGTTATCATGGGCAAAGGATAAAAAAATATCCTGACCCAAGGAGTTCTTGCCCTGTACTCTCATCTAGGATATGATGAGTGATTTTACTGTGCTTGTAAAAATGCTAGGGAGATCTCGGTCTATAACAAACATTGATTTTCACCTTCATATCGTTCCTTTTAAATGAAGTACTTTGACTTCTCCTACTACCAACATTTAAAGTTTCTGAGATGAAAGACACTGTAGAAATGCAAAGCACTCTATAAACGTCAGTTAGACCCCACAACACAGTACTACTGCACAACATGGAAAAGGACTGATTTGTAGCAATCAAGGCACTTAAGACTTTCACTTAATGTATTTGCAAGATTTAGCTAGCTTTTACTTTCTTTTTTTGTACCACTTCAACACCTTTTCCTTGGAAGTCACCTGGATATCTATAATTTCTTCTGTAACACAAGTATTTAGTTTCCTCCTTAGCACATATCATGAGAAAAAATGTCACTTCTATATGTAGGTGCATGCCTGAATGTAATTATGCAAACATCCCTTCTGACTTGATTCAAATAGGGGGCCTTCCTGAAATTTTGGTAGCTGTGAATATTGGTACACCTATTCGCTACCACTTTGAGCAGGGCTTAGCCTTAACATACAGTGCTGCTCCAATAAATTGCTGTTGTAAATCTAACCTTGTGTAAAATTCTTTAGCATCTGTCATCCCATTTCAAACTGTAAATATCCAGCTGGCTAGTGATTGTATGGTAAAAGAATATGATGATGGGCTTTATATGTCTATCTCATGGCCTATATATAAAAAAAGGCTCAATGTCCAATACTCATCAACAAGGATCTCTGTCTGATGACTAGGCTCTACCCCCACCCAAATTAACAAACAAGCTGTCACTGAATCCCAGTGGGATCTAGGTCAGGAAACCCATATGCTGCAAGACTGAGAAAACTAAGGAAAAATACCCAAGTAAATTAAAAGCCTGTAAAATACTAAAACCAGATGTGCAAATGTCAAATCAGGAAGGCTTATTTTATTTTTTGAATTTTTAGTTAAAAAATAAACCCAAATAGGTTATAGCAGAAAGCTGTTCAAATGTCAAGTTCAAGTCCAGAATAGAATGGCAAGTACACTTTGTTTAGACTTAGTTAAAGTCCCAGACCTTTTCAGTCTTCCATATTCTGTGAGAACCTATTTCTTGCAGTAGTCTTAATTTCTCATGGAGCATCTATGATCTATAACCAGTGATATGCTTGCCTGGCCTAAAGGAAAGCTAGAATCAACTCATTGTTTCCTGGATTGTTAACACTAAAAGAGAAATCGGACCTTCATATAAAATTAGCAAGGAGCAGGAGACTTCTGTAAAATCATCATTCAGATCTTAACAAAATTAAGTGTAATTATTTAATTATGTAACCATCTATTTGTCTGGTCAAGAAAGGAAAATATAATTACTTTCCAATAGCCTTATAAAGGCTGCTACTCTGCATAGAACATTAAATAAGATCCCATTTACTCTGCTCCAATCATCCTTTTGGTGCTGCCCAAGACAGCTGGAACAGGCAAACCCTGAAAAGTTTACAAGCAACATCAACATGAGACACTGATTCCATCCTATTTACTACTGTTTTCCCAGAATGACTTGAACAGACTTATTTTCCTTTTGAGTGTGTGCAAAGAGGCTAAAATCCAAACAGAACGTATTTTCTAAATCAAAATATAACATACTTAATCGCATCTGCTATAAAAACTACTAAGCACTAAGCTGCTTTTACCAAGAACTCCAGTAGGTAAAAGCCTCTCTCTGTGTATGACTAAAAAATGTGTAGTCTGACACAACAGGTAGGTGGTACTTTCTGTACACATGCTCAATGAATATGAATGACATGGTTTTCTTATTTTGCCCAAAGACAGTTTAGCATGTAAGTAATTTGAGGGTGGTCAGTCACTGGAACAGGCTCCCCAGAGAAGTGGTCACAGCACCAAGCCTGTCAGAGTTCAAGGATCATCTGGACAATGTTCTTAGTCTTAGTCATATGATTTAGTTTTAGGTAGTCCTGCGACGAGCAAGGAGTTGGATTTGATGACCCTTATGGGTCCCTTACAACTTGAGATATTGTATGATTCTATGATTTGAGGTAGGAACTACAGGTACCAACCACCATGTGCATGCCATGCATGATCAACAACACAGAGACAATTGCTACTCTAATGTAAATGGTAACTACTACTGAACAAGGACTGGAGTTCAAAGAAAGTACTTCAAAAGACTACTACAAGCCAATTGCTCTATAAAATCTTTTCTTTTTGTTAGAAAAGTAACTCTGTGTTTTGGGCATGTCCTTTCCTTCAAGCTCAAGGCAAAATATAGGCAAATTAAACAGCTCTGCATTCAGTAAAAAGGTTCTGGAAAAGAAAACGAAATATATCAGACTGAAATATGCAAATTCAGGACACAAACTGTTCCTGGTTTCCACAGTGTAGAAGCCTACTGAAGGATATATGTAGAGTGGGAGAAAACACATCTAATCCTGAGGCTAAGGAAAGATAGTTATAGTTTCCATGCTACAGCAACTGACTAACACTGACTGTAGTCCCAGATGCTTGCAAAAATAAGCGAAGCATGCTAAAGCATTACCCTAAGGGGTGAAGGGGAATCAAAGGCTTCCACTTTAGAAACCAAAATCTTACATTCATAATATTTTGTCATATTTAACTTCAGCTATACTTGAAAAAGAGCTACTAAATTCTTTCAGCAACTATTTGCATTGATTGAATTAAGCTTCTATGGTATTGTACATTTATATCTTTCTATCATAGAATGACAGTTTCACCTTTGCAAACCTCATGTGAGTTTAAAAGAATACCTGACTTTTACTATGTGTGTAAAAGTATTTCTGCTGTTTGATGTGTCACCTAAAAATACAGAAGGTACTTCTGATTTGACAAGAAAGCTACCTAACAAATTGCACAGTTAAAGTTAATTGTGTTCCTTAATTACAAGGCATGAAAAGACCAAGCATCTAAAAAAAAAAAAAAAAAAAAATCTAATTTATTAAATAAGAGACTCTCAAAACAGATAACAGGTTAAAAAAAAATCTGACATCACATGTATTTAGAGTTTAAAACTAAATATCTCTGAATATTAGATTGAAAACTGTATTTTTAAGCTTTTGTTTTATATTTAACTTGAAATGGTTACAATTTTGTGTAAAAAATAATGAAAACAGAAGGGTCTTTGTTTATGAATTCATGAAATGAGGGATTTGGTTACTTTTAAATTTTTCCAAAAAAAATAAAATTGTCTTGGAGTAACTGTTTACTAAGCTAAGAAGCGCAGCTGCCTCTCCAGGAAATAAACTGCTTATGGAAAATGAAGAAGGGTAACCCCCAGTTTCTGAACTGCTGGTAAAACTGAGAGGAAAATGGTGGGGGTGAGATGCAGAGTGAACCTCAGAGAGGCAAGTTTTATATAGCCTCAGAATGCCTGGTCAACATCAAAATCAAGGTAGGATTTTAGCTGTAGCGTATATAATCAATTTAATTTCAAACAAGTTATACTGCTACAAGCATAAGGATGGTAACACTGAACTCTGTGAGGATTTCAACATCTACCCAGGAAGGTGTTGAACTAAGGCAACTGCACTACATTTTTCCTTTATCAGGTAGGTGTCCTAGCTCAGACACTGTGTCCTGTGCAGCAGTATGCTTGCTCTGCATTCCAAACTCTAATGTGTTTGGGATTACAACACATGAAACCGAATAGACATGGGGCATCATTATAGCACTGCTGTCCAGCAAAAAAACACATAAAATGGTGAAATATTCATCTAGAGAACAGTTCTCAAAATCACATGTCTTGGCACTCTCCACATGCCCAGTCTTAAGGCTGCATTTATTATCCAGTGAATTTTTAGCCATGCTACTAAGTCAAAAGACAGCTGGAAGGGTTAATATCGTAAGTTTGAATTTCTCAGCTTTTGCTGTTTTCAGACTAGTTTTAAAAGAGAATTCTTGTGTAAAAAAATTAAGAAGTTTTACTGGCACAGACATGAAATGGACAAGTACATATATTAAGGGGATTAATTACACCCAGATTTATGCACAGACTCATTATCATCAATGAACAGAGATGCTTCCAAAATTAACAAAAAGAAGGATTATGCTTTTGAGGCAGTGGGAAGTCAAACAATCAAGGAGACTAAACTTCTCAAACAATCTTAATGAACCATGAGTGAGCAGGAGACTGCTTACCTTCCACACATGAGGGCTGAGCCCTTGTCGTACCAGCCACCTGCCCTGGGAAGCAGGAACACTTGACTGTTTGCGATCGTTCTTCAATCCGGTTCTTATTGCAGCAACGATGCACTGCCACAACTTCGCATGTCCCTTGCTTGACTTGGTGCTGGCCTAATAATTGCAGAGGTAAGTGATGAAGAGCAAACCAAAACATCAGTGCATAAAGAAAAAGCCAGTTCATACAGTCCTACAAGATACTGAATCTCTTGAATGCCAGTTTAAATCCCAGGAAGAAGAAGGGGCAAAGTATCTTGTAGGATCTGGCTCATTCCCCAAATTAATCCTGTTCTTACTACTAAAGATTAGTTCATTGTAACAAGTCAATTTTTCAAGCTATCTTCCATGGCCCTTACAAAGCCATAGGGACAAAAGGAGATTGGAGTAGTCAATTAGATGGATTAGATAAGAAGACACGCAGAGACAGAGCACACTCCTCCTTCCTTTGGCTTCCTGTCTTGCATTAGATTTTATATTTAATTCTTTCCCTTCATAAATGGACACAATGGACAGGATAATACTTAATGCAAGGGAGACTTATCTTAAATAGTAGGGAAACTTTCTAGCATAACAACATGCAAGCACGGCTTGCTATGCCTATCATTGCAGGTAGGCTAAGAACAAGGTAAGCTGAAAAGTTGTCATAGATAGTTAAGTTTTGTCAAAAAAAGCAGCAGCAGCAGCAACAACAACAACAAAAAAAAAAAAACACACACACACAAAACCAACCAACCAAACAAGCCAACCAACCCCCAAACCAAAAAACTGCCCACAAGCTATATGGATTTCTCAACTTCCCTCACAGACCATTTTGAAGAATCCTGTAATAAATATTCTATTTCTCTGAGTTTATTTTTCCCTTCGTCTCTTTTCCTTGCCCCTACCTTCACATCTTAACTCCACTGCTCCTTGCACCTATTTTCCTCCACTATCAAACTCACTCTCTGCTCTGCCTAAAACCCTTTATCAGAAACTCCACTTCACAAAACTCCTCTCCTCTTTGCATAAGTCATTTCCATGTTCTCACTTTCCTGAAGAGCCTTCAAGTGCTTCATCTTGCATTTGTCTTGTCTTATTTAGAGTAGAGCCTTGAATGGCTCTTATCTATGTTTGTAAAGCACCTTGTAAATTAACAGCACTACAGAACAGGGTGAGTTTTTTATTAAGTGAGCTAGACAGAGAGACAACACTGAGAATAATAAAAATATTCACCATCAAAGCAGTACAGGCTCAAGAGACTATAGTAGAGATATTGGTGTAGGTGTGGGTAATATCAAAGGCACAGCAGACTAAAGAAAGGTGAAAGGGAGAGCACTCTTCAGAAACAGGCAATCCTCCAAGTGGCAAACGCAGACTATTGTCCTGTTTCCTACTTACTCCATGTTTGCCCTGTTTTGTTTTGTTTGTTTGTTTGTTTTTGTTTGGTTTTTTTGTTTGTTTTTTTTTTATTTTATTTTTTAACAGTATCTGTTACTAACTAATACCAGACACAGAATTTTAAGATAGAGAGCACCCCGATCTAATATAATATGGCCAGGCTTACATCCTTATAGATGAAATCTTATTGAGTGATTAAAATCACTGTATTTTGGGGGCAGAAATTTTTATGAGTTGATTAAGTGGAAAATCTTAACCTTCAAAAGAGTTAGCAACATAATTTAGGCTTCTAAGGAAGTTTTTTTTTTTAAAAAAAAAAAAGAGAGTATTCAAATAATATTCAAATTATATATATAACTTTTTAAAAGGTTGGCTTGGCAACATTCCTTTTCTGTGTGTGTTTTGGTTTTGCAAGTATTTCAAGCACAGCTAAAGGGCTGCATGACTTTTGTTGCCAAATTTGTATTCACAACCACCTCAGTGGACAAGAAATTATGTATATGCAATCCTGGAGAGGAAATTTAGTCTTCTATTTGTGCATTCAACATGTAAAAAGAAATTATATATACAGAGATGTTTTGTTTTGTTTTTTTTTCTGAGGAAAAAGCTACACTGTATTTTTAAGCAAAATATGCTACAGCAGAAAAATGCATAAGGTATTTTACAGAAAGTTGGAAAAATGTTGAAGACAGCATAAAAGTATCTTACATATCTACTGTAATAAGTTTATTGGCAGACTGAATTTTCAGGCAACTACCTAATACCTATATCATAATAAACATGAAAAAATATGAAAACAGCTACCAGCTTGTAAGACAGTGACTTCTCTGTAAATCAATATGGAAAATAAATACACAAATAGAGAAATTAAATTGGCCATGCCACTTCATTCCAAAGTATTGTTCTACAAAACACCTTACATGACAATGTTTGCAGATAATAAGTAGATGGTCAAGGGTTCTGATAGAAAAGAGTAAAATGAGGTTGTTAATTTAAGAGACTATATTTATTTCTTTATTAATTTATTAGCTCTACAGCCTGAGACAAAATTCTTTGGAGTAAACAGGGAAAATTTCCATTGGTTTCCTACAGTGCTTACAGTGGTGGTCCTGCATTCACTGGTGTCAACAATAAAATTTTCATTGACTTCAGGAGAGCAAGGTCACAGTCTGGAATGCCTCTTGAAAAGGCGATTTTATGAGAGGTAAGGAAAGGCAAAAATTTGGAACTGCTCAGGCCGCAAACTTGAGTTTGCCATGTATCTCATCTGAAAGACCAAGTGGCCAGGTCTTTTTAATTAAAGTCATTACTCACCAAACATCAGATGCCAAGATAAGAGTAGAAGCCATTTTTTCAGAAAGTACATCATAAGGATGGACTAGATCCAGCTCCAATGATCAATATGTAGCTGAAAGAATGTCTATTTTCAAGCTCAAATCCTGCTTCCTTTAGGTGAACACTCCTGTTAGGTCAATACCAAAATAAATCAAACAGGTTGGCCCTGAGCATGCAGCCCAAAAAACCTGGTGCTCGCTTTCAATTATCTTGTTCGAATTTAAAGTAGTGACAGTGCTCGCCTGAAGTGCCAGGAGTCAACAGGCACGCAGATGTTTGCAGAAGGCAAAATTAAGTTACTTCATGAGTGCATCCCTTGGTTTAGAAGCTGTTTTACTGTACACTTATTCATGCTTTGCAGCTACACAAGCAGTTAAGAGCAGGTGTCCCCTCTTCATCTGCTGGCAGGGGTAGGATGCTAAGGGTTGAAAGTACTGCTGCCATGCAAAAGCAGACAGTGCTCTCCTCCCTTGTCCCTAGTGTGCAGCTCTTAAGGAGTATAGCAGTGAAAGGTACTAAAAAGCCAAAGACATCTGCATGCATCATTTGCATTAATTGGATTGCCCTTGTAACAGTCTTTCCCCTCCTACGAGTTCACGTCTATATTTCCTCCTGCTTGTTCACGCACATCTTAACAGTTTTTATTCTGTTGAACACCATACACATTACTTCTTAATATTCAGGCACATCTGTGAACAGATGCTGAACAAATGCTAAATGTTACCATGCTAGCTTTCTGTCCAGTTTTTGTCAGTGTTCAGCCATCTAGAGGACAAGCACTCAGTTTGCAGAATGGCTTTTGCATTTAAAAAAACCTCACAGAATATCCTAAAAACTAACTATAAACTCAGTCTATCCTCTGCCCAGATCTACTGAAACCTGTTGTATCTGCATTCAGGTGCCCAAAGGCAGCAAAAAGCAAAAATATAAGAATACTCTCCTGCACATTTTAATCTCCATCATGCATTAGATAAACCTTCATCTCAGGTTTAAAGTACAAGCTGAGAGCATAATGACAGAAAAACTCAAGAACAGCCATAAAATATTTTATACTCAATGGATTCTCATGAAGCCAAGGCTTTAGAGGAGCAGGGACTGAAGAATTTTTAAAGTGTGAAGATCACAGTAAGTGAATTCTACACCAGCCACATCAGGAAAGCCATTTCAGGGAGAACTGCAAAGAGAGATAGGGAGAAAGCCAGGCTGTGGAGAGCAAAGCCCCTTTGGGCTCACTTATAAAAAGCCCATAAATTCATAGCTCTTCACCTGTAAACCTATTCAGATCTGCAACTTAAGGGCTGTCAATATTTGCAGTTGAAATTCAGTTACATCTTCACATTTAAATAAGAAAACTCTCCAAGGAGAGATACATTTTATCAGCAACAGTACCAGAGAAAGGTTCCTGTCATAGAACACCTTCTGCATACCGAAGAGGGAAGGTCTGCCAGTCAGGCACTGTGGAGGACAGAGGATGAATCTTGAAAACTGTGGAGCCCTGGGTTAACTCTGATCAGGGGTTTGGCACATTTATTGCTCTCCATATCCCAATTTCTTTACAGTTTAGCTTCCCTAGAAGCACCAATGCTATTCAAGTTCACTAAGGACACTTTCCCTATCTCTCCTTACAGGGCACAGACATAATGCGATAGGGCTCGCTAATGGAAGCAACCTCCAGGACAGTCCCTGATATGAATTTTGCTGCCTTCCATAATGAGATACAAATAACAACAGCTCTCAGGTGGCAAAGTCCAGAATGCCTCTTAATGACCTCATAGACTAGCCACGCAAAGGCTCTGTGGCCATTTCTTTGTTATCTGTGGGCTTTCCATTCCAGAAAATGATACTGTGTAGAGCTGCTGGGCAACCTTCACAGTTTTCAGAGAAGGCAGTCATCACCTCTGAAGAACAAGAAAGTACAAACTAGGAAGTTATTAGGTTTGCACATTACAAGCCAGCACAAGTGTTGTGAATAGAAATGACTGCATAATCATCACCGAAATGTTTATTCTCAGTTTAATACTTTTTTCAACTAACATATTTGACAAGACCTTATTTTCACTTTCTTCATAGAAGTCAGGGGGCAAATATGCAATTAATGCTTCTAAAACTCTTTGAAATCCTCAAATTAAAAGAGGGAAATACAATTATTGTTAATAAAATATCAAACATCATAGTGATGTACTTCAAAACTACAAGGAAAATATCAAAGCAAGAGGCAGGCTTTCAGAAGGTTGCTAGCCAATTCTGTCCACATCCATTTCACCTCTGTGACTAATTCTAATCACTCCCAAGAAGTAATCTTTCAGTGCAGTATACAGCCAGGCAGCCTGTCTTTATCAGAAATCCTGAATAACTTCCTCTTTTTCTGATTTCTTAGCTAAGAAACATATGGAAAATACACA